TTAATTTATTGTAAAAACATGACAGATAATGTGTGAAACAGATCCAGTTCAGCTGCTGTTTATCTGTTAGTTTCTATGTTTGCTGTGAGCTGTTGTCCTGTTTATGTTTCTGCTCCTCCATGATGTCACAGACACTACCAGTGGACGGGATGGGCGGGGCTCAGTCTAGTGATCTTTATATTTAAGCCTATGGTCTTTATGAAATGAAACTGCAATGTTTTGGTCTGAATTCCACAAACCCCGCCCCTTTTTGGGGGCGTGTCTCAGATAAACTAGTTTTGAGGCTGCCTCTTTAAAGCCAATCCCTTTAGCTTCCAGACAGGTTTAATCCAGTTTGATAAAGGGGTTTATGGTTATATAGCTGCACAGAAATGTTTTAGTTAGAAATGAACTAAAAAATGTCAACAAGAGAAGACTTGTCTGACCCAGAACCATAGTCTGACCCAGAACCAGAGGAGAATGAAACCACTAAATTATAATTAGCAGTCACACAATTAGAAATGTGTTCCAGGTGAAAAGCAGATCTCCAGTAAAGTTTAATAAGTTYATGTTTCTATCAGAATAAGCTAATCTAAGAAGCTAAATGAAGCCTGGTTCCATCATTAAACTGTGTTTGATGTGTGCAGGGACACCTCTGCAGCGAGGCCTACCTGATATGATTCACATGCATGGAGTAAAGGCTGTTTTAGCTGATGTCGTTGAATAATTCAGACGGAATAATTTCCATTCACTTAAAATGAGGGGAGAAGTTCTGCTGTGAATTTAAAGTGTGGAGAAAGAGTCCAGGCTCGACCTCTGCAGCAGCTTTATGGTTTTATTTAATCAAATCAGACAGGTAAACTAATAAACCATACGGTAAAAAAAATAAAATCCAAACAGCCTCGATGTTTAAACTGAGGAATCCTAAATCATCTTGACTCAGCTGAACTACTTTGATCCAACTTTTCAGTGATTCTTCTCCCTGCTGTGGCTAAAAAAAGCCATTTCTTTCAGCTCAGGATGTGAGGATGAGTGATGGCTGCTGCTGCTGGAGCTCCAGTCATTTCAGGGATTTATGACCAGGCAGTGGAAGGAAGAACTTCTGCTTCTGTCGTCCTCCCGTCAGTGCAGGAACAGAAATCTACAGATGTAAACTGTTGCCGTGTCGTATGTTCAAACGTTTTTTTTTTCCTGGGATCAGATGAACAAATCCAGTGGTCTGCAGTTAATCTGAGTCTGTATGATCCAGCAGCTTCAGCTGTCACATTCACTGAGCCTCCCTGCTRAGGCTGTTAAAGCTCTTCTTCTTTGCTTCTAATCCCAACATCTGCTGAGCTTCAAGTCCTCCAGCAGAAGGAAGACTCTCGTTTCTAACACTTCCTGTCTTAAAACAGAGCACTTTACTAGTTTTTGTTTCAGCGTTATTGAAACTATAGAATGCCCCCCACCCACCCCCGTCAGAGCCTTGGCTTGTTCCCCCTCCTGCCATCTGGGAGGTGACGGAGGTATCGACTCCAGATCCAGCAGAATTAAGCTTCAGTGATGCCTGAATGTCAGATCAACACATCCTGCAGCTGTTTGCTCCCAGCTCTCCTCCCAGCATGAACAAAAACT